ATCCTGGGCAAGTTTTTTAATCCCACAACTCAGTTTTACCATTTGTTGAAGACACCATACTGACCCCTGAAAATGTCCATGTCTCAACCCCTGGAAACTGAATACAGGCTGGGGAATAAAGCTCCCACAAGCTGATCTTGAGCTGCGGAATCAACTTTGATTATCCATGCGGGCCCGACATCACTGCAAAGGTCCTTAAAAGTGAAAAAAGAGCCAGGCATGGTGCTGCACTCTGGAAGGCTGAGGCACAAGGATATCACAAGTTCAAGCCCACTCTGAGCAATGTGGTGACTTCGAGACACTGTCTCAAAACAGAAAATAAAAATTTGCTAGGTATGACGGCCTTGAGTTCGATCCCCAGTATCACCACAAAAAAGAAAGAAAAAAAAAAGAGTCAGAGTAATGAGATGTGAAAAAGACTGACCTAGCTAGATGTCTAGCTCTGAAAATGAAATAAGAGGTCATGAGCTAAAAAATGTGGGAGCTTTTAGAAGTTAGAAAAGACAAGAAAACAATTCTTTCTTATAATAGCCACTACAGAGGAAAAAGCCCTGCCCGTACCTTCCTTTTAGCTTAGCAAGACCATTTTATTTTATTTTAAAATTTTTACTTATTTATTTATTTTGGCACTGGTCATTGAACTCAGGACCTCACGCTTGCCAGGCAGGCGCTGTGCCCCTGAGCTACATCCCCAGCCAGCAAGACCATTTTAGACATGACATCCAGAACTATAAGTTAATAAATTTATGTGTGGGGGGTTGTTTGTTTTTTGAGACAGGGTCTTGCTATACAGTCCAGCTGGCCTTGAACTCACAGCAATCCTCCTGCCTCAGCCTCCCCTGGGATTACAGGTGTGTACCACCACACCCTGCAAAGACCCCTCTTTTATTCGACTACTTCCAACCTTATTTTTCACCATCCTTGCTTTTTTTATTTTATTTTTGTCTCTTTGAGACAGGGCCTTGTTATGCAGCTCAAGCTGTCCTTGAGCTCACTTCATAGTCCAGGCTGGTCTCGAACTCACAATGATCCTCCTGCCTCAGCCTCCTGAGTGCTGGGATTCCACCATCCTTGCTATGGCCTGTGTCTCTCCAAAACTCATATGTTGAAATCTAACCCCTAATGTGATATTGGTATGAAGAGGTGGGGCCTTGAAAGCTGCCTAGGTCACAAGGGTGGAGGCCTCCTGGAGGGGTATTAGTGCCCTTTAGAAGTGGCCCAGTGGGATTTGTTCACTCGTCCACCAGTGAGGACAAAGCAAGCAGGTGCCATCTTTGGAGCTGAGTGCCCTCACCAGACACCAAACTGGCTGGTATCTCCATCTTGAACTGCCCAACCTGTTGTGCTTTGAGCAACACGTGTTTGTTGCTTTAAATTACGTGGTTTATTTTATTATCGCGCCCCAAACAAAGCCACCCCAGAGCTGCCACACACAGTCCCCTGGTGTGCAAACTGCCATGCACTGCTCCATCCCATCCTCGGAGTGAGCTCCGTGCTCACAGCCAGTGCCCGGCCTCATTCACTGTACTCCAACTGCCCAGCCATCAGACTCCTGCCCAGCCCAAGGACCCTGTCCCCACCCTCTCCCCGAACTCCACTAAGACAGTTCTCACCCGTCTGTCTGCTTTTGGGATGGCCCTTCCTGGGTAGAAGCCTTCTGTTCCTCAGCCCTGCAGTGCATCTTTCCAGGGATGCACCTGACACAGGGTAGCTGTGCCCCGTCCAGTTAAATGCATGACCTAGACAATCTGCCAACCGGCTCTCTAACTTCATTTCCCACCGCCGAGCACACAGACCCTTTGGCCCATTGGCCACTTCCCAAACTTGCCAAGGAGTCCTAAAGTCCCCCTTCCTCTCCAACCTGAAATCTTTCTCAATTTATATTCATCTCAAGTCCTGTAGAACTCTTTCTTGACCTCTCTCTCCCTTGGATTTCTTTTTTTTTTTTTTGGTTTTTGGTTTTTTTCCAGTACCAGGAATCGAACTCACGACCTCGCACTTGCCAGGCAGGTGCCGTGCCGCTGAGCTAAATCCCAGCCCCCACTCTCCCTTGGATTTCTATGGCACAGGCCTTAGCTTTTCTACAACCCCTGCTGCAACACTGGACACACAAGAGATGTGCAATCAGAAGTGTTTTAAATGTGAATATATTGTGTGGAAAAAAAATCTCTGCATAAAACATTGATTGGCTGGACATGATGATGCATGCTTATAATCCTGGCTGCTCAGGAGGCTGAGGCAGGTGGATTGCAAGTTCAAGGCCAGCCTGGGCAATTAGGGAGACTCTGTCTCAACATAATAAATAAAAGGAGCTGTGGATACAGCTCAGTGGTAAAGCACCCATAGGTTCAATCCCAATACTGGAAAAGAAAGGGGAAGGAGGGAAAAACTGATTTAAAGCACCCCCTATTTCTTCTTTTTTGTCACTGGGAATTGAACTCAGAATCTTTACACTGAGTTATATACACAAGCCCTTTTAACTTTTAATTTTTATTTTATTTTATTTTATTATTTTTTTTTTCCGGTACTGGGAATCAAACTCACAACCTTGCACTTGCCAGGTAGGCGCTGTGCCACTGAGCTAAATCCCCAGCCCCTTAACTTTTTATTTTTGAGACAGTCTCATTAAGTCACTAAATTCTTCAAGCTGGTTTCGAACTTGCAATCCTCCTGCCTCAGCTTCCCAGAGTGCTGGGATTATAGGCATGCACCACCATGTCTGAAATCAAATTTACTGAACTATAAATGGAGGGCTTAGTTGGGTTTTAGCACTATGGGTGGTTTGTATTTTTTTTTTTCCTTCATTTTCCTTAATGAGGAGGATATACATTTTTCAGTATAAAAGTACTGGAAAATCTATCTTCCCCACTTGATTAATTACCCACTTACTAAATTACTCTTTCTGCCATACTGAAAATCTGTTACATGGAAACACTTCAAGGATCCACCACCACCATACACACACACCTAAAATAGGAGGCAGTGTAGCAAGGGGCTGTTTCTGAGGTCTCACTGCTTAGGGTTAAAAGTCACGATTTTGTTACCTGCCAGCTGTCTAACCTTGGAAAAATTGTATTTCTTTTGCTTCAGTTTCCTCACATATATCACATGGGAGGTCACAGCGAGATAAAAGTCACTCATGTGAAGTGTTTAGGAGAGTATGTGGTTTACAGTAAGAACTCAGATTAGCACTGGCTACTGGCAGCAACAGTTGAAAATAGAACGCTTGTTAAAATCCCTGCTCTTGCGAAGAGGAAATGCAATATTCAAAATTAAATGAGAGTCACTGTGCTTGGTGAATGAAACTCGGCAGCTAAACATCGTAGCACACATCTGCAATGCATGCTACGCAAGCTCCACTTAATTTGACCTCCAGTTTAATCACATGTCTCTCTTCCATACATGAACATGTTCTCGAAGCTGACACAAAGCAAGAGTTTCAAACCCCTAGGGGCTCAGTTCTGTTTCTCTAAATGTCTGAGCTTATTTTCTAAAATAGGTTTTGCAGGCCAAATGTTTCCCAGAAACCTAAATGACAGAATGGAGAAAGGAATTAGGAGACATGCAGTTATGTCTTGGCTTTATGACAAATGCAATCGGCTGCCTTTCAGTCAGTCAGATTTTGAGACATTTGTTCCCTTAAGCATTAGATGGGAGGAACTGTTTGCTTTCTTATTCAAAGACAGTGTAAGAGATACAGAACTTGTCAATCTGAGGGAAGAGTGGTTTCTAGTGCTTTGGATTCCTATTATAAAAAATCAGAAAATACCTATCATTATCACCTTCCCACCCCTTTCTCCCATTGATTCCTATTATCATGTAATTAATTCCTAACAAGATGGACTTTACTTATTTTTGGTACCGGGAATAGAATTCAAGACCTTGCGCTTGCCAGGCAGGCACTTGTGCCGCTGAGCTATATCCCCGGCCCCAAGATGGACTTTAAAGTTGAATGTGAATCTGGGGCTGGGGATTTAGCTCAGCGCTGGCAAGTGCAAGGTTGTGAATTTGATTCCTGGTAGACAAACAAACAAACAAAAAAGTTGAATGTGAATCAGATTAAATTTGCATGAAGAAAAGGTATCACAGCAGTACCCATCGCTCAGTACTGTTAAGAGCATGCAATGGTTAATTTTATGTTATCAACTTGACTGGGTGCACAGATATTTGGCCAAACACTCTTCTGAGTGTTTCTGGGGGGGGGGGTGGTGGTTGGAGGAGATTAATATTTAAACAGGGCCTGAGTATAACAAAAGTCTAGAAGAAGTCTGCTTTCTCCCAAGTAGGAGAGACTTCTGCCTGATGGTCTTTGAGCTAGAGTTCGGGCTCTTCCAGGCTGCTGGCCTTTGGACTCAAACTGGGACATCAGCTCTGTAGATTTTGGACTTGCCAGCTATAATTGTGTGAGCCAATTCCTTTATAATAAGTGCATATATATATCTACATTTATATTTCTACCTATCTGTATGTGTTCATCTCTATATATATATTCTTTTTCCTGTTGGTTGTGTTTCCCTGGAAAAATTTAGTACAGAACAATACATTATACTGAAATTCTGCAGATAAAATTGGAGAGAATTCAGATCATGTTTGAAAACTAAAGGAAATCGGATCTTTCTCACCAAAAAGCCCCCCTCATATATATAGTCTGCAGTCTCTGGTATTTATGGCTGATTCGAAAATACATATAGGGTTCTTTCCAACACAGCTCATTTTCTAGTGACTTTTTACCTATTCCCACCTGCAGCTCTGGGGACTCTGTGACTGTAACAGATGAGTCACACAGTGAGCCAAGAAGGTGGAGGGGAAAAGGCACTGGGTTTGTTTCCTTGGAAGATGTGGTCACTGGATCTGTAGAATTCCACTGAGATTTTTTTTTTTTTTTTTTTTTTTTTGCTTTTGGTTTTTTTTTTCCAGTACCGGGAATCGAACTCATGACCTTGCGCTTGCCAGGCAAGCATTGTGCCACTGAGCTAAATCCCCAACCCCTTCCACTGAGATTTTTACATCCTCTCACCACGGCCCTAAATCATGTCAAATGCAGTCAGTCCACTGCCTACAAAGGGATAAGGACCAGCCAGAAAAGCCTTATGTGAGACGGGGGAGTGTCCTGAAGAAGAAAGCTGATCTGAAGGCTAATAGGAGAACAATGAGGAACCTGATTACACCTTGGTGGTCGCTGCAGAGTGTGACTCATTTTGGCTCTTTAGTAGTGGGAAAGCGCAAGTTACCACTTACTGCCCAGGGGCCTTCCCTGCCCTGTGATCTCTTCTCCCCTGTTTATTTAGTCACAACGCCAGGGGACTCACTACCCCACAGCTCTGTTCTCAGCCCCTCCTACGGTTTCTCAGAACACCCTGCAGGGAATTCTTAGGTTTTCTTTTTTGGCCAAAGACCAGATAAACAGTAGGGGGCATCCAGCCTTAAATAGGGAAACATCTGTAAGGAAGGATTACAGGTTGTTTAGAACATGAATATACCAACAAATCAGCATCCAGATGGTAGGACTTCATTATTTTTAGTACAACTGCATTTCCATTCATGCAAATTGTCTCCTCCTTTCTTAGCAGTGGCAAAGTTTATTCAAAAAAGCAAAAGTAAAGAGTAAGGGAGAAACTGGCTCTGCAGAGCAATCTTGAGCCGAGTAAAAGAGGAAAAAAGTAAGATAAAAATACACCCTGGAGGAAGTGGGGTGGCTATCATTAGGAAGGCCACGGTAGGGTCTTCTTCCTCATCTTAATTGCTTTCCTTTTCTTTATCTACAGGAACATAGAGGGGAATTATTAAATATTAATTAAATGTAATCATTTCCTTCCTTAGTGAGTTTCAGGCCTCTAATATTCACCAGTTGGGAAAGAAACCAGAAGGGCTGGCAGGCAATATTCCAAAAGGCAGGTAGATCCGAGCTGGCGAATTGGAAAAGAAAGCACATTCAGTTTTTAAAATGGTCACGTCTCTAGCAGTATTAGCAAAGTTGCATCAAATATTGAAGTGGACATATGCATCTAAGCATTTGGTAGTGGTAAATTGACAGATAAACAGAGTAGTTACCTACCTTTAAAAAGAAGGTATTTAAAAAATAATGGTCTCCATTTCCATAATACTCCTGAACTACTAATATAAAACAATACTATACCCACTCACATTATGAAAGGCCAGTAACTTGGGCCAGGTGTGGTAGTGCACGCCTATAATCCCAGCACTGGGGAGGCTGAGGCAGGAGGATCGCTGTGAGTTCCAGGCCAGCCTGGGCTACATAGTGAGTTCCAGGCCAGCCTGGGCAACATGGTGAGACCGTGTTTCAAAAAAAAAAACAAAAAACAAACAAACAAAAGAAGGCCAGTAACTACTAACTATGGTGAAACAAGACTTAGTTCCTATTTGTGATTTTGCAGGGGCTCAAACTAGTGAATGAAAATTTTCTTTTCACGTAAATGGAATTTGCTATTGCACTATTACCTTTGGGATCATTGTAATCAAAAGTCTATCGGAAAATGGTAATACAAAAGAAAACATCAAGGTTTTAAAAGACTAAGCAAGCTATAAAGACTGGCATTAAAGAATAACAACAAACCACTGAAGGCGTGGCCCCACTTCTGCTATTTGGCTTCTGGCCTCTTCAGAGAGGTTTTCAAAGCTTGCACAGCTAACAGAACCTATGGAGCCCCAGGATCCTTTACAAAAGGAAGGGCCTGGCTCTCCATCCCTACCAAGTTCTCCAGCGATAGTTTCCCAACACTCTTGATCACAGTCATCCTGGAAGCTTTGAAAGTAACACATTCCCAGACCTTACCCCTTGAAATTTTGATTCAGTAGATTTAGTAGTGGTACCAACAAAATCCTGAGAACATTAAATAAATTTTATTTATTTATTTATTTTGGTTTTTTTCCGGTACCGGGAATTGAATTTACAACCTTGCGCTTGCCAGGCAGGCGCTGTGCCACTGAGCTAAATCCCCAGCCCCCCATCAAATAAATTTTAAAACAAACTTCCTCAGTATTTCTTAGGAGCCAGACTTGGGAAACACTGACTTTGGACATTTATTTAAGGTCTATCAAAGAACTCACGCCTCTGGATTTACTAAGAATATTCATAAACTTGGGTAGGTTGTAAATCATTATCCTGGGGAGGATTTCACAAATTAAACTGCCTAGAAATGACCTGATACTAAAAACCCTGTCCAATTTGGCATTTAAATTACCTAATAATTTTCTGTCTATCCACTTTCCACCCCCAGGCTATGGCCCATACACAATTTTTGCTTCCTCTGGCTATTAAGTGCTAGCTATCCAGTGTTCATAACGCCACTCTGTTGGATTCTATTAACCTCTCCTTTTTCTTCCGCTCTGACTTCCAAACTGTGAAGAATGGACCCATTTCAGAGCACCACGCCATCTGCTATCACTTGTAGTACTACGCATCAACTGTGTTGAGACATCAACCCAGAGCCGCAAGGTGCTGCAGCTGCTCTACCACAGGCGAGATACTAAACAATTCTAACGTGAGGATTCATTTCTCTGTGGAAAGAAATGCTTTCATCACACAAAACAGGTAGTTTAAAAACTTGACAGTTCTTGAAGTCAAGACAAGAGAAAGTTAATCATGACCAAAGGTTCCATAAATGCAGTGATTCCTGGTTTACCAGCAGTGACCCAGCACACAGATGTCCAGCCTTCACTTTCTGCATCCCAGAATTGAGGTTTAAATTCCAAGTCCACAAAGGAAAGAATCTGAAAGCACTGGTCTGTGAGGACTTTGGGAAAAAGACGTCTGATCTCATTGTCCTGAAGTCATATTATCATACATCAAATGCAAGAGTAATCTTACAAGTAGGTGAGAATTACGTTTTGAAAACACAGATGCTTGTCGGGTGTGGTGGTGCAGACCTGTAATCTTAACACTTGGAAGGCTGAGGCAGGAGGATCATTGTGTGTCTGAGGCCAGCCTGGGCTACAAAGTGAGCTGAAGGCCAGCCTGAACTACATAATGAGACCCTGCCTCAAAAGGACAGAACAAAACAAAACAAAAACCAAATAAACACAGCCGCTGAATTCTAATCCTTCCCACAAAATTCTAGATCACAAATTGAAAGATGAGATGATCTTTCTTATATAGAAGGCATCAACAGGGCTACACCAGTGCCAATAGCCAGGAGATGCAGAAATGCCCAGGGGTCTCCAGCACTTAAGTCACAATGGGCATCCTCACCAGACAGCAGGCAGAAAACAGTTCAAATGTTTAGTGAAACTGCCAGTGAGAGGTGGAAAGACCTCCTAGAACTGTGATAGGAAACAAGCCAAATGCTACTAACAGCAGCGCCAGCTAGAGGAGGACTTGGCTTGCAGATTTATGTAGTCCCCTTGAGTGGACAAAGACATGGTATCTTCTCTGGAATTGCTTATCATCTTTTCAACAAGGACTCTAAAAAAAAAAAACAAATGAAAAATAAGCCTGAGAAGCTGGATGGAGGACAGGAGAAATGGCAGACACTGTCTTATCACTAAGCAGCATTTGATAAAGTCACAAGGTGTAAGCACCCGTTGGCCTCAGTTAACTTGCAGAGAGTAGGCCTAAAATTCAGGAGCTGACATTACAGTGGTTCAGTCTAATTCTGTTTGCTCAGAAACAAGAAAAGAGGGTCTGGGGCCATGATGGAAGATGGATAAACCAGATCAGCATGAGCTACGCACCTCATTGCTTCAGTGACATTTTTGTTCTCCTTGACTGATGTTTCTGTCCAGCCTGTGAAACCATTCTCTTTACTGAACCGGTCAATCTGGTCCCGGCTCACTGCCCAAGGGGACAGATCACACTAACAAAGAAAAACATAAAAGGCAACACCATCAACTTCTTAAGAACAGGAATGCAGCTCAGATATCTGTGGGCTTAGAACATTTCTCCAACCAATGACTAGGAAACACTAGCATCTAGAATCTATAGTCAACCTTCTTCCCGAAGAAAGTCATACTCTCGACATTCCCTGAAAGGAGGTGGAGATGATTCTGCCAACTTGAAAAGGGGAAGCAGAGCCCCAGAACAGACGCATATTTGATCTGTGTAGTCTCTGACTATAGATAGAGACCAGGGCCATTTTCTTCCATCAGTCCCATACCTTATTGGCCAAGAGCAGGCAGGGCACAGGCTCTCCATTGGGCAGTGTGAGCTTGCTGTCCAGATCCTGTTTCCATCTCTGGCTGTTGCTGAAGGTAATGGCATTGGTAACATCAAACATAATAACACAGGCTGAGGCATCTCGGTAGTATAGTCGTGTCATAGAGGTGAAGCGCTCCTGGCCTGGGAGAAGAGAGAGTTCTCGAGACGGTGATTTGGAAAACCACTTTCACCACCTCTCTGCCACCCTGCCTGTTCTCCCTTTGCTGTGGAACCTCCTCATTCTCCCACCTAATGATTAATTTCTCTTTCTATCTCATAAAAGGAATTCTTAAGCTTAGTCACTTCAAGGCAGATTCTGTACCGATTTCCCAAGTCCAAATCACTGCTCTGCCACTCACTATCTATATGACTTTGGGCAAATCATGCTCTCCGTGCTTTACATTTCTCATCTCTAACGTGAAGATAAAAGCTCTTATGATAAAGTCTTTGTAAAAATCAATAGATGAGCCGGATGTGGTGGCCCATGCCTGCAAACCCAGCACTTGGGAGGCTGAGGCAGGAGGATATTTTTGAGTTCGGGACCAGCCTGGGCTACAAAGTGAGCTCCAGGTGAGCCTGAACTGCATAGCGAGATCCTGTCTCAAAAGGACAAAAAAAAAGAGAGAATCAATAGATGAGTGTTGTATTTGTAACGCTTAGAAGAAATGATTGAAGGGAGGGGGAAATAAAAAGAATTAAGATGTGTTATACACATGTACCAACTCCCCATGATGAATGTAATTATGCACTGCAAATATGTACTAATACAAATTTTTTAAAAATTTAAAAAGATATAGTTAGCAAATAATAAAGACCCACTATTTGTACTATTTTCCTAGAATCTTGTTTCTCACCAAGGTCAGCTACAAATCTAGAACAAGTGCCCACCTCTTGCTGTGGAAGGATCCACCTATAGTCTGCACAATCCACCAACATAGACTGGAAGTCCTTCTACCCAAGGAGTGCTCCTCATCTATGCAGGGCAAAACAGCTACAAAAGCACCTGCAAAAGTTTTACTTTCTCAGTTCATGTGTCTTTAGGGCAGCTCAGTCATTCTAGCTTCAGAAGAAAAATAATATCTGGCTTTGCTGGGCCACTTTTTTTTTTCCTCCACAACTCGTTTCTCTTTTTATTTTTTCTGTGTTTTTGAGACAGGGTCTTGCTATGCAGTTCAGGCTGACCTTGAGCTCACTCTGTAGCCCAGGCTGGTCTCAAACTCACAACGATCCTCCTGCCTCAGCCTCCCGAGTGCTGAGATTACAAGCATGCACCACCACGCCTGGCCAAGAGCTTGCTTCTTAAACCAACATTTCTTTCCTTGTTTCTATTTGGCCTTCCCAGTTTACCTGCAATGTCCCACAGCTGGAGACGCACCATTTCTGTGTCAGACCACTGGAGAACCTTCAGAGCAAAATCCACTGAAAATATAGGCATGTTATACTTTAATAAAATTTACCTTTAGAAGATCCAGGGACAAATTTACCTTTAGAAGATCCAGGGACAAACTCAGATTGAGTATACACTTACAATCCCTTGGACATGCAACTTTAATCCAATTTATTTATGTTGAAGCCCTCCGGAGGCTAAAATGAGTCCAACTTGTACTTAAGCATGGGACAGATAATGCATACTGGCACTTGAAAGGGGTCTCCAGCTTTATTCCTCTGTGAAACCAATTTTATTTGATACTATTTGTCTCCAAGGCTGGGGACGGGAGAGTGGCAAGTGATTATGAAAACAACTCTTTTACTCAGGTTAAACAATTTCTGGGAGATGGGGCTGGGGATTTAGCTCAGTGGCAAAAAGCGCCTGCCTGGCAAGTGCACGGTCGTGAGTTCGGTTACCGGTACCGGAGAAAAACCAAAAAAACAAAAACAAAAACAAAAACAAACCAAAACAATTTCTGGGAGAGCTGGGGTTTTTCTCAGGCAAGGGATGATAAAGAAGATGGAGGAAATGAGGTAAGTGTGGTTGGGTTTGTATCTTCCACATTCAATTTCACCACTGTTTTCTAATCAAATTGTATTAGGAGAAAAACACCCTGGGGCATTCTACATCCTCCTTAGGGCTGTAGGAATCATCTCAGGCAGGAAGGGGATAAATGAAAAAGTTCCCTGATGACTCCCAGGAGGAGGACACTTCACAGATGACGCTCAAGAGCACTGGTGCAGTCTAACAAGTCTGTGTAGAGGCTGAGATTCTCCGAGTTAAGGCCAAAGGAGTACCCAGGGGAAAGCTGTCTGCTAGAGAGAGAAACAGAATGACTTCCAAGGTTTGGAAATATATTCTTCCCCATCTGTGGTAGAAATAAAATCCAAGGGGAACTTACAGCAAACACTGAAAAAAGTCGACAAGGCAATTATGTTCTTCACCAATGGAAAACTAGCACTGTGAAACTTAATTGGCAGGACACTTTTCACTTGTCTCCGTGAAATACAGATCCTCATATTATTTAGGAACAAGGGGTAGAGTGGTCAAGAAACAGTCTGAAAATTGTAATTTGCTGGATAGTCTTAGAGATGATGCTTTAATGTTACATGTTAATTTTTTTTTTTTTTTTACTTTTTTTTTGCTTTTTTTGTTTTTCTCCGGTACCAGGAACCGAACTCACGACCTTGCGCTTGCCAGGCAGGCGCTTTTGCCACTGAGCTAAATCCCCAGCCCCTACATGTTAATTTTAAAAACTTTCACAGGAACACCAGCACACATTTTCAAAGTGTCCCTCAGTGCAAGGTTTCTTCTTTAAATAAAATTTTAAGTTACTTTTTCCCATCATCAGCTCTTCCTATCTGAATTACCTGCTAGTTAACAAAAAGGCATATCTACCTTTGAAAGCACAGTTCAGGAGTCCAAAGATCACAGTGAAAAAGAAATGAATCAATTCTCCTGTTCCCACCCTCTCTCCCTCCCCCAGTTTGAAAAGAGGGGTGGGAAGATAGGTCAGAGAAGTGGTATATTTCATTCTTTGAAGAATTCCTCCCATGTTTTGAAGAATTCCCAGGTTACTTTTATTTAAGCAATCCACGGACAAAACCCGCGCAGGTCATCAGATGAGCATCTGTTTGGCCTAGGGTTCCGCTGGGACGCTGCGTCCATCCCCCACACCCTTAGGGCCCTGCTCCCGAGGCCGGGTTAGGAGACCCCCGTAGGAGGCAGGGACCTACCCAGCCGGCACGTACCTCGTGCTACACAGGGTCTCGGGGGCTCTACCGAGTGGAGGGAGAGACCGGCCCCCAACAGTCGCCTGCGGGGAACCGCAAGTGCTCAAGCACATCCTCCCTTCCTCCTTTCCCATTTTCACACCTCTGTCCTCCTTCTTTCCAGACAGTCGGCGCGGGCGGGGAAAGCCTACCTGGGGGACAGGCCAGTGAACACCGAGCCCCGACTCCGCGGGGGACCCAGCCGCCTACCTTCTGACCCGAGGAAGAACCCAAGGACGCCCTCCCCGTCCGCTCGGGTCTCGTGCGGGCCCGGGCCCGTCTCACCTCCCACCGTGGACTTGTAGTGTTTGCTGAAGCTGTCCTGGGAGTAGCGCTGGACCAGCGACGTCTTGCCCACGGCGGCGTCCCCCACCACCAGCACTTTGAACAGGTGGTCCCGGCTGCCCATGGCCGGCGGCGCGGATTCGGGAAGTGGGGCCGGCGCTCCTTTCAACCCCTTTGGCCCCCGGCCCTCTTCAAGCTGAAGTGAGGCATTTCCACCCCTCGCCCGCGAAGCTGTTTTGACGAGAAAGCAGAAAAAGGAAACTTTGCGCTCAACCTAGACGCGCTTCCTCCCGGCGCGGCCGCAGCGCGCTCGAGCTCCAGCCCCCGGCAGTCGCACCTTCTCCCGCGCCCCGCCCGGCTGCCGAGAATCGGGACGGGGCGTCGCCCAGCCTCACCCACCCGGACTTCCCAGCGCCTGAACTCGAGCCAGCTCATTACACGCCTGGCGACAGATGGCGGGAACCTGCCCCACCGCACACACAACTGTGAGGGGAAGGCGCAGCGGGTACCTCTGTCCCTCCAGGCGGCGCGCTCTCTCGCCTCCCTCCGCAGGTGTCACGTGCAGGACGGCTTGCAGCACTACATTTCCCAGCGCATTTCGCGGCAACAGGACCTTAACGAGTGAAGAGACTTGCTCGCCAGGCCGCCTGGGAAATGTAGTTTTTTCACTATTCCGAAAAACTCTCAGTTTCAAGCTTTCAAACTCCTTCAACTTTCTGAATCTTAGTTTAAAATACTTCTAGGTTAGTAAATGTCCTTTCACAGGAGATTTGTTCTACATGATCTCATGCCTAAATCTGTCCCAGAGAGTCTTCCAAGGTTTTATATAAAGTAAACATTAAAAGTTTTCCATTAAAGTGTAATCACAGCACTCTGGGAGGCTAAGGTACAAAGATTTTGCCAGCCTGGGCAGTTTAGCGATTTAGTGAGACCCTGCCTCTGAAAAGGCCCTGGGCTCAATCCCTAGTGCTGAAAAGGAAAAATAAAAAATTTCCCCATTAATAAAAATCTCAGCCTCATCCATTTTGCTCTAAGTGAAGTCCATTTCCTGTTTCTTCAAATAGCTAGACAAGTCCAGGACCTCGTGAATGTAATCTCATATCTTCCACCTGACCCCATACCAAGCAATTCATGGAAATTTGACTCCTGAGACCAACCCTTAGAAAAACACATGTGAAAAGTTACAACACTTAATAATTACCAATAAAAATGGACAGAAACCAAGAGACAGTTCCTCATCCTCACTTCCACAATCCCTATACTTGCCACTCATACATCATTTGAGGGGAAAGTCATTTGTTGCTGCTGTTGCCCCTGAATAATCATAAAGCTCCAATTTGACAAATAATTTAAAATTTTCACGCCTGCCTGGCAAGTGCAAGGTCGTGAGTTCGGTTCCCGGTACCAGAGAAAAACCAAAAAAAAAAATAAATAAATAAAATTTTCAGCCTGTAGCTTTTCTGACTGGCCTGTCCTTTAGGTATGAGTCAGAGGGACATGAGGTCCATGACAAACAAAATGAGCCCCACTTTCTATGCTTTTTCCAGGACCAAGAGACCCCTCCTCAGGGCCAGCCATGGGGGAATCAGCTCAGGACCTGACACCCCACGGTCACGAATCCTGCCCAGGTCCCCTGATGCAGTGGTTGCTGCTTATGGTCTATGAGGAAAGACCATCACACATGCACAACGCACTGAGCCCCAAATGTTTGTTTCCCAGGTATAGGAGGTTAGGCCAGGCTATTCAGCTGTATTTATTTTTGTTTGTTATTATTATTATTATTTGGTCTTTTTGAGACAGGGTCTCGTTATGCAGTTCAGGCTGGCCTTGAGCTCACTTTGTAGCCCAGGCTGCTCTCTAACTTGCAAGGATCCTCCTGCCTCAGCCTCCCAAGTGCTGGGATTACAGGCATGTGCCACCACATCTGGCTTATTTTTTATTTTTTAAACAGAAAAAAACCCTAAAACTTTAAAACAAGATGATAGGTGGGTAACAATGGTTAATACATTGCATATTGTTATCTTTAAATTATTCAGAGTATGAGATATTGGCATTTAATTATCCAAACAATATTAGCACAAATCTTTCTTTTCAATGAACTAAGAGAAATTAGTAGTATAACTATCTTATATATATATTTTTTTCCTTTTTCTTATTTCTTTTTTCTTTCTCTTCTCTTCTTTTCTTCATACCCCCATCCCAGTTTCTCTTTCCTTTTGAAGTTTTTGCCCATTTTACAATATCTATTGTACATTTTGGATCTTATTTGCTCTTTCAGCTTCTCACACTAGGGAGACAATATGATGTTTACACGTGTCTGGTTTATTTCACTTACGAGTTATTCAACTTTAAAGAGCCACTCTTCTCAGTTTCTATTTGCTTTACCATACTTAACCTCTCCTTGACATTTGTTCCCCACATGGCTTCTGTGCTCCTGTTCTTTCTTTCTCATCATCCTGCTTCTCTGATGATCTTTTTCTTTCAGGTGTCTCTCCATCCCAGCCTCCTCTAAGTATTTCCAAAGCCTGATTCTTGGTCATAGAATTGATCATTCAATAGACTCTTTTCAGTGGGGGGTTTGAGACAGAGTCTCACTGTGCAGTTCAGGCTGGCCTTGAACTGTGTAGCCCAGGCTGGCCTGGAACACGCAGTGATGCTCCTGCTTCAGCCTCCCAGTGCTGGGATTACAGAAGTGTGCCACCACTCCTGGCTCAATAAACTCTTTAGTGAATCTTCAAATCTTTCTTTGTATTCACTTTATTTGTTCTTTATTGCCAATTAACTATGGTATATTTGTGCAGCTGCCAAAAAGTTCCCTTCAGTTGGATGCACTTCCACAGCCTCCCCTTGCTACCTACCGCACTGCAAAAACAGCTGCTTTTCTGTTCCCCTATTTTCTTCACTGGTCTCCTTTCTTCCCTTCAGCTAGACTTCAGACTTTGAGCACTGGTAACATTTCTCTCTTTTCTTTTCCTTTTTTGTCTTTTTGAGGTAGGGTCTTGCTATGCAGTTCAGGCTGGCCTTGAGCTCACTTTGTAGCCCAGGCTGGTCTTGAACTCACAAAGATCCTCCTGCCTCAGCCTCCGGAATGCTGGGATTACAGGCACGTACCACCATGCCTGGCAACATTTCTTTTTACTTACAGCCCCCTCCCTCTTTAGAAAAGTCAGTTCATATATTCTACTGATTCTTTTAAAATGCACCTACCCATCCTCCCTGGTCCTTATCCAGGGATGCTTTCCTAATTGAGGTACCCTCATTTCACAACTGGAGATATATATGTGTTACCTCAAAGTATGCCAAATTGATACAATGATTTTTTTTCAAGTTGAAATCTCTTGAGGAAATTGTAACTGCAGGAAGTGCCATTGATCTGTGTTGTTACAGGCTGCATGCCATAGAAGTCCTTTTGAGAGGGATGTCCTTCCCATACCAAGGCTGAAAAATAACCTTGACCACTAGAGCTGGTACTTGGGGTGGCAATGGAGCTGAATCAACAAACTCTGACATAATTCTGATCTTCTGCTAGCTTCTGACTCTCCCTCTATGTATCTCTTAGTAGCAGCCATAGCATTTATTACTGTCATCAAGACACCCACTTGTCCTATCATTTCTTCCTAATTGTACTGCTCTGTGTCTAAAAAGTATAAAAACATCATGGTTTCATCATTTCTTTGGACTTTATTCTCTTGTGAAAATTCCCATGTAAATGTAAATTTACTAAATGTTTTATGTTTTTCTTTGTTAATCAGCTCTTACATAAATGGGGATTCTAAATCCAGCCAGAGTACACATAAGAACATAAGGGGTGATAGAACAGATCTCTGTTTCCCCTACATTGGGTTACTGTAATTACCTGTCCTCTCATCTCCCTGATTCAGTTTTTTTGTCCCTCATTAAATCATCCTATACAATTGGCTAGAATGATCTTCCTAAAACATCACTATTTGTTTCTTCATTGTCAACCAACTATCTTTCCAACAATGGCCAACCTTCCTGAGCTTTCTATGCACCTGTCCGGTCCTACTAACTACTTTATTTAGCCTAATCTCAAAGGGAAGAATTTATCTCCTGATATAAGATGTGGCCCTTATACTCTTTAAAAGTGCAATTTTCATTTTTGATTATTATTATTATTTTTTTTTTTTTTGCGGTACTGGGGATTGAACTCACAACCTTGTGCTTGCCAGGCAGGCACTTATACCACTGAGCTATATCCCCAGCCCCAATTTTTTTTTTTTAATTTTAAAGAGTAAAAGAAGGACAACATAGCAATAGGTACACACTTTGTGTGTACCGAATTACACACAAAGTGCTAGGACATTATCAATGGTTGTTATTTTACCTATTGGTATCTTCAAGATAGTTTCTCAGGAAAACAAATAGACAAATAA